GTAATGATGTATCCGGTTGTATTGCTAAGTGCAGTTTAACAATTCTAAGTGTGAGAGTTTGAGTTCTTCTTAGTGTGACTGGCTATGAAATTACGCTATGCTGTGTAGTCTGTGTCTTTCTTTTCAAAGATTTGAGTAATTGAAAGTTCATATATTCATCTCTACTTCATCATTGCATCTGCAATTGAGACTAATCAATTTTGAATTAAAAGTAGGTCAAATTAGTTCATAAAGTACTTCTTTGTGTTGCTTACTTGAAAATTTGTCATCTTGTGAATTTCAACTGTCCGTTTCTACAACAAATTATCATATTCTTGCCTAAAGATATGTAATCTTCCAATTTATAACATATTTATTTGTTTGCGGATATTTTTGGTCAAGAGCTAATAGAAAAAGGACCAGAAAGATGATCAAAGACCGCATATGTAAATAGTTGTATCATACATGTTGTAACTACTGTGGCACTTTAAACATCCCTTAATGTGATGCTCCCGTGAATGCAAACAATGTATATTTTGTTCAAAATGTATGTAAATTAAGTGTGTATTACTTAGTAAAAAATATTTTGTCAAAGCAGGTCCATGCTCGGCTTATTCACCAAATGAAAGAATTAGAGCTTTTACAAAGGTAAAAATGAAGTAAAAAACTCACATATGCCATATTCTTCATCTTCTGTGTAGGATAAAAAATGCTTCTGACAAAGGCACCCAAATCCAGAAAACTCTATGATAAACATAAAAATAACTACAACCAAAATCATGTATACTAACCTCGTGTGCTTAATGGCTTCAACTAATTCTGCACTATCTTCTTCTTTTTCCTTTATCTGGAGCAAATCGTAATAATTTTGTTGTAGTATGTTGCTCCAATTTTTGTGTCTTAGCGGTCACATTTTGATTCATTTTTCTGTGTTCTTCATTTCTTAGGAGTTCCACTACAAGTTTTGCTAATTTAGTAAATATCGTTTCCATGTATCGAGATGTTTTGCGATAACCTTCTAATGTCAAAAGAGAGAAATTAATAATATAATCCATTTTTGGTGAGAATGTGATTGTTATTATTTGTATAGTTTGTAACTTTAATGGATTGGTATTTCTGTTCCTTTATTGGACTCTCTTTATACTTTTCAATTTCATAGCTGGTATCAATTGGCAGCAAGAAAAAAGGGAAAAGTTTAAGGGTTTTTATATGTAAAAGCGTGGAAGTGTGATTGAGACTAAATGCCAGATACACATTGCTCTCGATCTCAAAGCTGGTCTTCATCCTCTCAAGGTTTCTCTTTCATTATTCTCTCTCTTTTTTGTTTTTTAATTTGTACTCCTTCCTATTAAGTATTCATCAAGTGGGTGTGGAATCTAAAATTTATTTTTTCCTCGACAACTTTGTGAATCTAAAATCCTCTTTTATTTATTATTGTTTTGGAGTGATTAATTCACAAGAAAAGTCAATGTGTTGGTGGGGGATTTGGGAGGTTTTTTGTTAACGACTAAGAACAAGGTTTATTTTGCAAGTAGGTTTATAGTTGTGAATTTTGTTGTAGTTGGTTGTTGATCAGTGGGTTTTTGCTGGATTTCATCTTTGGGTTGCTGATTGAAGTAATGATGTATCCGGTTGTATTCCTAAGTGCAGTTTAACAATTCTAAGTGTGAGAGTTTGAGTTCTTCTTAGTGTGACTGGCTATGAAATTTTCTAAGTGTGAGAGTTTGAGTTCTTCTTAGTGTGACTGGCTATGAAATTACGCTATGCTGTGTAGTCTGTGTCTTTCTTTTCAAAGATTTGAGTATTTGAAAGTTCATATATTCATCTCTACTTCATCATTGCATCTACAATTGAGACTAATCAATTTTGAATTAAAAGTAGGTCAAATTAGTTCATAAAGTACTTCTTTGTGTTGCTTACTTGAAAATTTGTCATCTTGTGAATTTCAACTGTGCGTTTCTACAACAAGTTATCATATTCTTGCCTAAAGATATGTTGTATCATACATGTTGTAACTGCTGTGGCACTTTAAACATCCCTTAATGTGATGCTCCCGTGAACGCAAACAATGTATATTTTGTTCAAAATGTATGTAAATTAAGTGTGTATCACTTAGTATGAAATATTTTGTCAAAGCAGGCCCATGCTCAGCTTATTCACCAAATGAAAGAATTAGAGCTTTTACAAAGGTAAAAATGAAGTAAAAAACTCACATCTGCCATATTCTTCATCTTCTGTGTAGGATCAAAAATGCTTCTGACAAAGGCACCCAAATCCAGAAAACTCTATGATAAACATAAAAGTAACTACAACCAAAATCATGTTGGGCCTGTGCTGGCACAGGCCATCATCGCCTAGTTTATATAGAAAAGAGGAGAGAAGGATTTACAATAGCTATATGTGCAACATGCATGTATATATATATATAGCAATTACAAACAAGAAACAAAAGAAAGCACATCCTACACCTAGCTAGTTTTACATTTGGTCTATCAATGTGCAACTACATTTCAATACAAGGTCTGATACAGTGGGAAGTAGGAACTAACTTATACTTAATTGTTTGACTGGTCCAACATCACTGCAAATCTTAATCCATGAATCACTACACAGGATTTTAGCATTTTGAAGCGTGTAGCCATGAAATATGGGTAGTGGATATCCTCTACTAAGTTTTAAATTTATGTATGGCAGTATCACAGTCCGCATTGCAGTTGACATCAGCACCTGCAACAGTTTTCAGGATTCGGGTCAGTTTTATCATCACCTAAAGAAAGGAACTGTCACAGAAATGGGATGAAACAAATACGAGGGCCACTGCTTTAGCATTTACAGAGGGCCATTTGCTGTTCTAACTTAGAGCGGCAAATGACTTGACTAGCAGAGAGACAGCAAATCATCAGAAAGGGAGACTACAAATCGGCTTAGTATCCTCCTTGAATCATCCATGACTAGTTACATACACACTATTCACTACTGAATGTATTTATCATGCTAGCACTGATTACACCTATACAACTCATCATTCCTTCCACTATGCAGACACACAGCCAGAAACTCTAGCAGTTCTCTGAGATAAATTGATAAACAAATAAATAGAACCACGACAAAGAGGTCAAATTCAAAAAAGTGTTTAAAGCAGCAAATATACTGCTTGCGACGCTTGAGGTCCGCGTACGTCATGAATACATACAAATATACAGGGGGCTGCAGCAATAAGCAAGAAAGAGAGCCGTCTACAGAGAACGCGTTACTGATAGTTTGGGTCCACTAGTGAGGAGTGTAAATGACCACTTGTTAAATGTTTTTCTATATTAGCACTATGGGTTCAAAATGTTTTTCAATGAAACATCATGACCCAAAAAGGTACCGTGTAACTCTTTGAGATTAAAGAGTTTAAGTCCTCAATGGAAAAACATAATGAACTGGAAAATCGAACACAGAGAGAGAACTGAAGATATACCCGGACTAGATTCACGTGCAAATTGCCAATTTTACTCCATCTTAAAGATAAAGAGAATTCATCTAATTGAATATTTCCACCAAGATTATTGTTGGTAATCCATGGAGAAGCTGAACCACTGACTGCCTGCAATCAAGAGGGTGAAAAGTCAAACGTCAGTCCTTGGTAGAACCGGGATTCAAAAAAAGGCAAGCAAGGTCAAATGCCTTGATGAAACATGTGAAATAGATAACTTGAATTTATCCTTTTAAACCCATGGAGACATCTCTCTATGGTGTTTCCTCGGGCATTCCAAATTCATGCATATGAATTCGTAAGGACACCACATAGGTCATTTACTCATATCAACACAACCGAGGTTCAGGAAATAAAACTAAAATGCATCAATTAAAACAGTCACGTGGTTAGTTACAACAGCGGGTTCAAATTGACACGACAATAGCCGACATAAAATCAACATCAGGCATAGCAAGCAAGATAGCTACTCTATTTTTTTTTCTTTTCATTCTCCACCTCAAAATGAATCACATTTTTAAGTAGGCACTCTTCTTCTTTTTTTAACAGGTAGTGCATTTTTTTAATAAAAGAAATTTATCTTTAAGATAATTTATCTACTTAATTTGACAAATTTTACTTTAAAATTTTTAAGCTTGGTCAACAAATTAAAAGTATATTAAACTCTGCAACATATAACAAAATCTGAATTCTTTCCTTATTAAACAAAAACAAAGTTGTTGTTTACAAGGAAAAAAAAATGCAACGACAGAGTTGTGAAATAAACTAAACTAATACAAATAATTAGATAAAGAGAGCTTATAAGCCAAATAATAATAATAATTAAAAAAAAACTATATAGAACAAATAAACGTTTCAATATAGACCAAACTAAAGTAAACTACAAAATAATAAATCATTTCAACACATATTCTTGCATGTTTTACTGGAAATCAGTGAGAGAAAAACAAATTAACTTTGAAATTAAGTTTTAAGTACTTGAAGTAAATAAGCTGAGGCCATTCAAGCATAACGCCAAAAACTGTCCAAAAGCAAGGAAAAGTGTTGCACTAAAGGATCGAGCATTGGACCTTCCGGTAAACTTGAACCCGCTTGTCCATCACTGCACAACGATTTTGATGTCAAAGCGGGTTCAATTTTATTTATATATGAAAAGTTGTTCCGTTATAGATGACACTTATATCTATACACGGTATAACTTTCCGACGAAGCGGGTTCATATGAACCCTCTTGAAACCATGTGGGTCCGCCCCTGAGTTACAAGGAGAGAATTTTACAACCCCCCGCCCTGTCTTCTTTCAGTTGAAAAATCAGCTAGTACAGTTGCCCTCTTGGTGGAATTCTTCAACTACTTATACTAGTAGCACTCATAAGGCAAAGAGAAAAGGAAGCCAATTCAAAAATGTTAACAAATGTTTCTAGCATCTTCAAGAATGGATAAAATACTAATCCAATTCTTACAGGTAGCAACAGAAATATTTTACTTTTTGCCTCTTACAGCTTCCCCGGCATGTTTTCTTCAGTTGAATATGCAAAATGGCAATTTTAATACTTAAATTTTAATCAACACAAACGGGGAGAAAAGTAGGTTCCGGACAGCCATTGCACGTTCTCAACACAAGCCAATATCAAACTGTGGATAATATTCATGCCAAGGGTTATTAAGAATAAAGATAGATCCTAACGATTTTGATTGATTAAGACACAATAAATGGGGAAATCATTTTGATTTAAACATGTCCCTGTGATAAATAGAAAGCTAATCAATGGCACAGATGCATTTCTTAATTTCCAACTTATTTTGTTAGAAGCTCAGTTCACTTTTAATTTCAACCTTTCACTCTATTCGTCCAATCAAAATTCAATAGGACGAATAGGCCATTGATTTTTAAGCTCAGATCACTTTAAATTTCAACCTTTCACTCTATAAAAGTGAACCTCTATAGAGTGAAAGGTTGAAATAAAAAGTGAATTGAGCTTAATGACTACTTCGTCCTACTTCCAACAGGGAGAATAACGAATAGCAATAAACTAATGACTGCAAGGAAATGGGTGGCATATATGTAGATAAGTTGATCTTTTTACGAAGCTTACCGTTGAAAAGCATGCAACCGGTGTCACTTCACCTGAATTCAAAACATTAATCACGACATCTGCATGAACCGTCACATCAATCTGGTGTTCTTTAATTTTCAGACTGGGTGGAGAAAATATGGTAACATTCAGATTCATGTCAGCGTCTGGATATTGCCTGTAAAGTTGCGGGATAATGAACCTCCATCCAGCAGTGTTTAACAAGGATTGTTCAGGTACTTTGTCAACAATCCAATGCATTTTGTTGGCCTGAACAGATAGCAGCTATTAGATACAAATCATGCCATATAATATTCTGAAACGCAACTTGCACCAGTCAGATTTGAAGGGGGGCTTAACATTGAGTACATCCCTTAACTAATTCTCAAAGAATATATTAGAACAAGGCATGTTAAATTATCAAATTCAGAGCTATAACATGGAAAAATACATGTATCCATATAAAGGTCAAGCTATTAGATGACTGCTAGAAAAATAACCAATATTCTTCTAATTCTGAAATGGTTCACTTGGAAGGAATAGAGGAAGGACTTACATCATAGTAAACAGATGATGCGGACACTAAAACTTTTTCATGCAAGGAAATGGTAACCATGCTTGCTGGATCCTTCACAGGAACTGACGCTAATAAGTATTCTAGAGACGCTAATAAGTGTTCCAGATGATGGTAAGGAAATGCCGCATAGGCATCCTTGGCACTAATTAACCCATTAATTGAAAGAGTAAGAGAAGTGTCTCGCAATTGTGGGTTGCCAACAAAGGTGACATTTAAAGCAGCAATATTTCTTATTGGAATTTCCTTTGGTAGGGACTGCAACAAAGAATCAAGCTTCACAATCCCTTCTCTCAATTTCTTTGAAATAGCATTTTCTACAGCAGAAGTTAATCTAACTTCAAAAGCGTCCAGCAACCTGCAATTAAAAGAGGGAAATCATAATGATGCTAGTAAAACCTATCAAGGAAGCAAACTCAGGGCACAAATAAAATTTCATATAAGAGTAGCAGAATTGTTACAAAGGATGCTGAGGATATGATATATGAAAAGACATTACCACTTGAAAGCATATTAGACAAAATTAGTTACTGCCACAAACCAGAAGAGTTCAAAAAAATATACCGAACGAACTAGTTTAAGGAAGTTTCATTTGAACTTGGAGAGATCTGTTCACTAACAACTAATGATTCTGTAGTCAGACGTCGGACATGTGTAACTCAGAAAATAGTATTCTTTACAGAAGGAAATTTCAGTGATAGATATGAAGAGTTTCAGACGAGCAATGTTACAATGCAACCTACGATTTACAAGGAGTGACAAATATTGAAGCATCTCATTATGTTTGTCGCATGCTTGCAGAGAACTGTTACAAATTCCGGTTAAAGTGAGATTCAATAATATCTTTTTGTTAGTTTTCCATGGCACGTCATACATCAAAAAATCACATTCATACACGCATAATTGTGTGTCCACCATTGCTTCTTTTTTTTTTGTGTGTGTACTGTGTGTGTTGAGAGGGAGTGAGAGACGGTTTCAAATAAAACATATATATTCAAAAATAGTACCCTTGATATAGCCAGGATGCTCCACCATCCAACTTTATAGATATATCTTTCACTGAACATCCACAGTCCAGGGGAGAAAGCATAAGCGATCCTTGGTTATTCGTCAGATTGAAAGAAATTCCGACGTCCATACCGTCAACCTTAAGAATACGCAGCAAAGGACAAAGAAAATGTGAACAAATATACCAGATTTTCACAAATTGCTAGCACATTTAAGTAGCCCCCCTTCCCCCCGCCCCCAAAAAAAAAACTAAGTTACAAAAGCTTAAGCAAAAGATTAATATAGGCATAACTAACTAGTTAAAATTAATGATTGGTCATATTGCAACACTTGCTTACAATTGGTGTTTGCAAGGCGTCCTTTTAGATGTTTAGAGATTTGTATGTTAGTAGAAATTATAGAGAATCTTTAGTGTTAGAGTATCCTTAGCTTGCCTTAAAAACACAAAGTACTGAGTATGCGAACAAAATTGCTCCAACAAGTGAAATGGACACTGAAGATTCATATAGCTAACTCCAACTAGTTTTGGACTAAGGTATAGTTGTTGTAGTACAGTTACAAAAGCTTGTACAGCAGGCACCAGGTGGGAGCTATGACCAGCAGAGAACTATAAAATGGTCAAATGAACACCCTTCACTGGAGAACTATACTACGTATATAGATTAAATATTACTTTTTATACATGTATATTTAATCTTGAACACCCTTAACGAAATTTCTGACTTCGCTACTGCTAAGCACCATCTATGGATGTTATCCTCATTTGCCTACCACAAATAAGATAGCATGGAAGACATGATATGGTTCAAGTTTTAGCTTCTGTAAAAGTTTCTTTTCTTGAAGCTAGAATGTAATCCGATACTAATCCGTGCAACACGCGGACACATAAAATACTTTTCTTGAGCTCTTGCGTAGTTCACTAGCTTTTAAAGTTACTGAACGTGTCTTCCACTTATAATAGCTGCTCCCTAAATCCTAACCCAATTAAGTTAAAAAGGGAAACAAGAGTAAAAAATAGTTACTATAAAAGAAAGAATCTATGTTCAGATATGACTCAAAAAGACAGCATTTTTAATGTAATTTGAGCTAATTAAAGTAAGAATTTCACATAAGCTTTCAAGATTTATCGGTGCATACCTGAATGGAAGCTTCCCCATTATCTGTAATAGGAATAGGAAGCCACCAGTTGGTATAAGAATATTCCCAATTCATGGTCATATTGGCAGTGGCACCAGAAACACTAATAACTATACCTGTATCACCAGCTTTAACAGTGGACGAAATTACATGGATTTTATCGATAGTTATATTAGAAAGACCCATATGAACTGTACCAATAAAAGGAATATGCTTTGATTTCTCAATTTTAGGCAGGTCAAGGGGAACTAGTGAAGACTCAGCCATTTGTACTAGAAAATCCTTCGCAAAATCAAGACCCTTATTTGATATGTCCACTGAGATGTAGCCTTCTTCATTGGATTTAACATGGTTAGTTGAAGAAATAAGGAGTAAAGATAGAAAAAAGGAGAAGACATAGTCTGCCATTGAAATTTTTGAGGGGCAGACTCAGAAGAGGAACCCCTTTTGATTGAATTAAACGGATTTATAGATGAGATTGAGATGGTTAAAGTTCAGGATTAGACACTGAGCTTTGATTTGAAGATATGTTTGGCATGTCAACGACATTACATTTGGTTGAAGATATGGAATTGAAAGCAACAGGATGGTCGGTACTTAGAATAGAATAATTGTACTGTGGTATTTACTGTGGAGTCGTAATTGCTCCTTGCACATGATTTGCCGTCGCACGTTGCACGGAACTCTTATCATATTCCTTAGGATTTAACTTGGGGGGAAATTAAATTTTAATCTTTTTATAGAGGCTAATTCTTTTATTCCTTTTACTAATCTCATTTATTACTACACGTAGGGGTGTATATAGGTCGGGTTGGTTCGGATTTTATAATTATCAAATCAAATCAATTGTATCGGATTATTAAATCTAAAGATCAAACCAAACCAATAAAACTCGGGTTTTTCAATCTTGGTTTTTTTTCGGGTTTTCTCGAGTTTTCTCGGTTTTTTCCGGTAAAATCTTCGTAGAACAAAACATATAACTTGTGCTCAAAATATTTCTTTAATTCTAGTAAGATGCAACTATATAAAGTATTTTTCAAGAAAATGATATAAAAAATGAGATGCGTCATGACATTATCCTAAAATATTCAACAACAAAGATAATAAAATTATGTAATATAAATATTGCTAATTAAAAAGCCATAATAAAAATAAACATAATCTAAAAGTACTAAGTCATGTTAAAATAAGTGGACTAATAAGGGAGTATTAATTATATGACTAAACGCTAAAGAAAAAATAAAAATAGGTTTTTATCCAAAATTATTGCAAAACAAAAAATTGGATATTCAATACATTCTCGTTCGTAGTATTGCATTGAATATATTTTGTTAGCACTAGTATTGATTTGATTTTGGTTTGGGCTTTTGTTAGCATTATTTAATTTACTAATATTAATGGTTATACAACTTATTGGAACGTTCAAAAGTTCTAATATATTTATATACCTTAAATATATTTAGAAATAATACCTTAAAAGATAAAATTATAAAAAAAAATAAGAAAAATTTATAAATTACATCACAATAAATATATTTATATATTAAATATATCTAAAATTTCTATATATCTAATGTTGGGTTGGTTTGATTTTGGTTTGACTTTCTTTGGTTAAAACCAAACCAAACCAATTATGGTCGGGTTTTTTTTTTCCAACACCAAACCAAATCAAGCCAAACCAAACCATAGTCAGTTTTTTTTTCTCGGTTTGACTCGGATTATCGGGTTGATGCAGTTTGTCAGTTTTCTTTGTACACCGCTAGTCTATATGTTATAATCATATTTTGAGTACTCCAATGGTGCAAATATAATCTCATGCTGACTAGACTGTTCTGATCGAAAGAAGTTGGCGATCGACAAGGCTATTTTCGTCATTGTAACCATGAGTTGATGTCGGGAAGGGAGGTGATCAGGTGTTTCACGCATTCGCCGCACTTTAGGACAGAACAGAACAAACTCTTTCGTGTATTAATGGCTACGTGTGAGAGAGAGAGAGAGAGAGACTTCGAGCACATAATATTTATCATCCTTTTAGTTAAACCAACACCGAATGTTATATTTTTAGGTAGCATATACTCATTTAAAATTCAAAGAGGACGTGTCTATTAAACAACTTTGTCAAGAAATTCAGACGTTACTTTTTAACGACCCAACCAGAAAAGGTCGACGTCTCATTTTAGAATTGAGATGGGGCAGAACACAATCCTATCCACATAATAGAATTACCTTTTCCACTAAAAAATTTATGAGCTACCTCTTGATTTGTTGTCCAAACACCACTCTTCGAGGCAGTATAATCAATCTAACTACCCTTATGGCGCAGAAATATGAAGCCTAACCGTATCTCAATCAGAATGTGAACAAAACTTTCCCGCACCTCATATCTTGCACCAAATCGAACAATCCAACCTTACAAAATGTGTACAAGCTTTGTTAACACAGCCTGAAGTTTTGCTAACACAGCCTGAATTGCATTAAATGTAACATGAGAACCAAAAAACATTTTCTGATTGGCAAAGTCCATATGTAACAAGATGCTCAAATGCGGTCCTCGATTTCAGTCGTACAACTCCTTTACAGGAGAGTGAAGCTGCCCAAATGCAATTTTCACATCATGTCCCATTCTATTACACACCATCATTACAAGGAAAAAAATATCGGATTTCGAAATGGCCAATATGGCAATCGGATCTCAGTAAGATATAAGAAAACCCACACAATGGTACCATTCTTTCTGTGAACCCAAGAAGCCTTCTACCAGATAACCAGTAAGTGATCTAGTATGAAGTGGTTAAGTGATCTAGTATGAATCATTTGAGAGCATCTCCTGCATGCGCTCTACAACCATCTTGTCAACAGTGTGGGTATATTGATGGCAAAAACTGGATCCTTTTGTGGTTTTACAGGAAGTAATCTGGTGGAGGCCTTTTAGCAGGTGCTCCTCTCGATTCCTGTATTTCACCAAAAACAGGCACAAATGTAAAACTGTGCAGAAGAGTCTCACAAAGGCATCCTGGTATAAGAGTAAAAGTGACTGCATGCTTGTCTCAGCCTATAATTGCAATGAGCAAGTATCTTTTCTTCCACAGGAATGCATATAAGTTCACATAACTGGCGCTAATGCTTTGGTTACTAGTTATATGCACAACTATCAATCCTGCCAGATCAATTTCTGCAAAGCCAGGATATGTACTTGGTTGAATATTTAGGCAAGTTGAAAATGTCAGGCAGTTACTGTATCTCTGAGATTTTCTGAGAGGACAGGGAAATTGATGCTTCAAGGAAATTGATTATATCACTAATATATCTAAGGTGCTTAAGTTTGAGGTTGGAATACATTCAAAGGTCCATAGTGAGGGTGCTAGGGTGGGTCAGCACTACGGGAAGTAGGTTATTTCTTAGTCAAGGTTTGGATGGTGCAATCCTGGAATCTCACATTGACTAACCTAAATCTCTGTGGGTTCAGTGACATACGTATTAAATAGGAAATGAAATATTTTCTTCTTCTTCTTCTCTTTTTTTCTGGCTAAGGAAAAATGGTCAAGTAAATGTGTCTTTTCATTTTTGTAGTAGGAAATAAACTTTTTCACATTTAAGAGACTGGCTCAAAGTTGATGATTAAGTCAAGTTTTTGATGAATTAGAACTATCATTAATAACAAGAGTGTGTCTGATGTATTATCAGAAAATAAGAGGGGGACCGATGTTACATTTTCAAGTGACGTGATATTCAGAAGGTATTCCAAGAGGGTAGAAAAAGTACTTTCACGAAAAGGGACACATTTGATGGATAGCCTGGAATGGACACTGAGACGGTGTCATGAGATTTTCTATTTTCTTTCAACAATCCCAATTTCTCAAATAGGCAGTGTCTATTTGCTGAGTTCGTACCTCTTTTCTGTGTACATTTTAGCCACTTCTTGGTGAAGCTGTTATATTTTATAAATGCCTCACTGATCAAAGAAATGTATGGGACGATGGGATGCAGAATTTCTGTTTAACCATTACGATTGAAAATAGCACATTGATAAATTAATGACCTCTTTGCTCATTCACCAACCAGAAAAACTAGAAAGTAGAACGATTATATACACATACCTGTGGAGCGGCTTCAAACACACGGAATTGCTTATTAAGATTCTCATCTAGCTCAAGAATTGCGGCAACATTCCCACATCTGTGATGTACCAGGACGAATGCAAATAATTCTCGTAAAAAAAAAAATACATGAAATGAACATACCCTTATAAAAAAGAACAAAATGCAAACTAACCGTGTGACTTAACTGACCTGTAACAGTAGTTCGGAGCAGACCAGACTGTAACTATCTGATTATTGAACATCCATTTAAATCCTTCCATTACTAACTGATGTGCACGGCATATGTAATCTATGTTATTTGTATGGTTAAATGAAGTAACAACACTGCCACCAAAAAGGAAACCTGCACCACGAGGACTCAGTCCCCATCCATCAACAATGTCCTCTGGATCTGACCATAGTAGGTCACACATGGCACCCTCATGGGGAACCTCTTGCTTTCGATCAATAGTTCGAATCTGAGATAGAGGTGATGATGTCAATGTATTTCACCACATGTAAATTCAAGCAAAGGAGTCAGAGATTAGTTCCGGACCTGGTCTAATGTAGATATTGTAGGAGAAAGACCACCATGAACAGAGAATATCTTATTCTCAATAAGAGCGGACAAGCTGCGTTACGATCAAGACAAGGTAATATAAGTTTAGTCTTACTGATAGATAAATGTACCACGACTTGATCAGACAGCCATAAACACTGCTGGAACGAGAAAAGAGGACATGCAGGATACCAATGTCCTGAATCTCTCTGGTCAAGTATGGTCAAGCAAATGGACAAACTTGCAAGTCATGTATTAGGTTCAATGGAAACAGAAAAGGTTGGATAAAGCGCATAACAGACAGGTCCAATGACAAGCTTGAAAGCAATGCATCTACTGAAAATGCATTGAACAATCAGTTCTCCTATTTTAGCCACTAGAATAAAGTAGAAAACCTTAAGTAGTCAAAGATATCCGTGCAATATCTCCAAACATTTACTGAACCATACTTCCGCAGGCACTCATCATAGAATCCATACACCTGGAATTTTGAAGAAAAAATAAGATTATAATTTAAGTTTAAGAAGTTAGGGATAAAATGAAGGACCAACCTGTGTGATCTGGCGGCTCTCATGGTTACCTCTGATAAGAGTGATTCGATCTGGATATCTCACCTGATTATACATCACCAATTTATTCTCTTTTTTTGGATAATGATGCATCACCAATTAATTGAAGGGGCAAAGGCAACATATTCACTAAACATGAACATGGAAATAAAGAACCAACTATAAGCAACTCAACAAGGAAAGGCACAGAGAATATTAGCACATTGAAGCAACAATTTTGCTTCTATTTCGGCATGGGTTTTATAAGAGATGAACGCACAGTTATTTTCCAAAGACACATCAATCTAGGATGAGGCACAACCAAATGGAAATCTTCGACAAAAAGGCAAAGATGAAGAAGAGGGGGAGGGGGAGTGCATGCACAGAACCAACAAGCTAGATAAACGAATAACATGTCACAGATGGTCCTGAGCCCAACTTATTTACAACTTCAAGAAGCAAAACCAGATTGTCATGTCACCAAGAAGAAAAAAGGAGGAAAAGCATCCTCATAGTTAACAATGATCTGAAAAGCACCCAAAGGTGTGGCTTAGTGGTCAATGAAGTGGGTTAAAACCCATGACAGCACCTGTATTGGTGGGAGCTAGCTAGTACCCCGTGGAATAAGTCGAGATGCTCGCAAGCTGGCCCGGAGCCCATAAGTATCCAAAAAAAAAAATGTAATGTCAAATCTTTTATTCTAAATTCAACTGAGTTTTTTTTTTTTTTTTTTTGGTTACTGATAATAAAAAATTAACAGAGATATCTTTATATAACTTATTTGCCTTTTCTTCAAGCATTCCAGGGGTCCCCCAGGCAGCAAAGTAAACAAGCACACGCCAGTTACCCCTGTCACATGGAAGTTTAAATGAGTCTGACCAACTATTTTGCATCCAATCCAACATAATTTCCACTTCATTTCCATTACAATTTACAAAACATCATGAACCAAACAAAGGCAGCAGTACATAATGTAGAATATACAGACTAAGGAGGGTAGTTTCCTGAGCTGTCAGCTTGTCTTTTAGGAAAAACACAAAAGTGCAGGAAGTAGAGATATCCTTATAACCAACTTTCCAAAGTGAAGACTATAGCATATAGGTTCAACAATAATGTAAGTCAGATAAACCTTGCATGAATATGATATCTACCAGGTAACACAGGAAACAGTTAGAACCAGAAAGTACCTTCAGAGCTAGTAGAAGAAGAAATGTCTCAACGGAATAAAATCCTCTATCAACAAAATCTCCGAGAAACAAGTAATTTGTCTTTGGACAATCACCTCCCACTTTGAATAGCTCTTTCATGTCGTAAAATTGCCCATGGATATCACCACATATCTATACACACAAGAAACAAATTTGAAGCAATACCAGAACATAGATAAGTGGAACTCACATCGGAAAAAAAAAAATAAAGAAACAAACATAGCACGTAGGAGTGTCACTTGTAAATGATAAGACCAAATAGACGATATATGGTAAGAGTTCAGAAATAATCACATTTGCTCCTGTAACTTTTAGGATTTCACAAGTCACATACCACACATTGCAGTATATTCATTTTATGCAGTCATTAAGACAGCAGCACTCAATCAGTATCAAGAAACTAAGCATTAGGAGATGGTCTACTTCAGGAAAAAACAAAGGAATCAGAGCTTTTAATCATCAGGTCGCAACGGTCAGCTTTTTCAAAGGTAGAAGGTGGCTCAGAACTTTGCCTCTTCCGGCCACTAAATTTTTCTTATGTTAATCCTAACTGGAATAGATCAACTGATTGAAGAAAATTAACATCCAATTTATGGTAAAACAACTCCAAGGGTAAACCAAACTATAGAATGTTACTTCAATAATTACCAATGCATGAATACGTCGTTCTTATACCATTTCAGAAGACTTATTGTGCTTGACATTACTCCATACTTTTGTTCTAAGGTCAATAACTTTTTCCCTTCTTTGTGACCATTCAGTTCACAAATGTTTTACGAATTTTAGCTCATCTATTTTGCAGAAAACTTAGAAAGGCATATTGTTTTTTCTCCGTCTTTATTTCATTTGGAAGTAAGTTCATTCTTTATGGCAATTTACTTGAAGTTGTCAGGACAAGTCTAATGACTTGGTACCAATAAAAAGAGTCTAATGACTTGGTGTTTCCTTTTTTTTCCTTGATAGGTAAAATATACTTATGATTATGCTATTCTCACCTATTGTGATGCTCTTGAATTGTGAAAGTCAAATCCTAGCTATCATAACTAACATAAGCATTGTTTGTTTATTGGTGATTGTTTGCCATCCCAAGCAAATCCTCTACAGTCATCTCTCTTTACTTCGTTTGTTTCTCGACATTCCACCAGACCCCAACCAGATTCTTGAGCCCTCTCCAGCTGCTGTAGTATTTTTTTCAGCAAGAACCCCAGGATTAACCCCAGTAAGCAGCAGTAACAACAATAACAACCAAGCCTCAATCCCAAGCTAGTTGGTTGTAACGACCCGGCTGGTCGTTTTGAGTGTTGTAGCCCCGTTCCCCTACTTACTGCTTATTCTATGCTCAATTGTTGTTATGTGACTTGCCCGGGTAGTTGGTTTGGTTCCGGGGATGTTTCAGAATGAATTGGGTCACTTAGTCCCAAGGTTGGAAGCCCAAGTTGAAGGAGTTGACCGGATGTTGACGACTCCGGAATGGAGTTTTGATAGTTCTGAGCTCCGTATGGTGATTTTGAACTTAGGAGTATATCCGGATATTGATTTGGAGGTCTGTATGTGATTTTGGCTTGAAATGGCGAAAATTGGAAAAATTAAAAGTTTGGAGAGTTAGACAAGTTTGACCGAGAGTTGACCTAGTGGTTACCGAGCTCGAATTTTGATTCCGGAAGTTTGAATAGGTCTGTTGTGTCATTTATGACTTGTGTGCAAAGTTTGAGGTCAATCGGACTTGAACTGGTAGGTTTCGGCATCAATTGTATAAGTTGGAATTACTTAGTTTTCATTAGGCTTGAACTGGGGTGCGATTCGTGTTTTGATGTTGTTTGATGTGATTTGAGGCCTCGACTAAGTTCGTATCGTGTTTTTGGACTTGCTGGTATATTTGGTTGAGGTCCCTGGGGCCTCGGGAATGATTCGGATGGGAATTAGATTGAAATTTGGACTTGGGAGAAATTCTGGGCTGCTGATGTCGGGTGCCATGGCACCTGCGGAGTTTTGGTTGCAGGTGCGTGACCGCAAAAGCGAAGGAATGGTCGCAGGTGCGGTTTGGGAGAAGTTGGGCAGTGGTTGCAGGTGCAAGGGTTTGTCCGCACCTGCGGAGGGGCCGCAAGTGCGAGGTCTGGAAAGGGAGTCTGGGGGCGCAGGTGCAGATGCGCATCTGCGTATGGGCAATCGCATATGCGGAAGTGGGCTTGGAGGCTTTGGATCGCAGAAGCGATGGGAAATCCGCAAAAGCGGGACCGCAGATGCGGTTAAGTGGAGTGCAGGTGCGAAAAGGCCTGGCAGTGTTAAATTCGAGTATCCGAGATTTTTATCATTTTTTTGGACTTTTCTAGGATTAAGGCGATTTTTGAGGGGGTTTCAAGTGATTTCTTGAGGTAAGACACTTTTGATCATTTTTATATTACCCATTGGATTTCCCACCTAGTTTATGTGTTTTTAAGGTGGAATTTTGGGTGTCTTGAGCTAGGGATTGGAGAGTGAAATTTGGGGATTTGAGTGACGATTCGGTGTCGGAATTTGGTAAATTTGGTATGGTTAGACTCGTAGTTGAATGGGTATTCGGATTTTGTAACTTTTATTGGATTCCGAGACGTGGGCCCGGGGTTGACTTTTTAAATTGACTTTTTCACTTTTGATTAAGAACTTAGCATTTTCATATGGAATTAGTTCCTATAGCTTGGGTTGATTGTATCGAATTGTTTGTGGCTAGATTTGAGGCGTTCGGCGGCCGATTCGCGAGGCAAGGGCTTACTGGAGTAAAGATTTGCACGGTTTGAGGTAACACTTCTAAACTTGGTTCTGAGGGTATGAATCCCTGAAATTACGTGTTATGTGATTGGTGTTGAGGTAACGTGCATGCTAGGTGACGGGCGTGTGGGCGTGCACTGTAGTAATTGTGATTCAGTCGATTTCGTGGAACTGTTTAGTCATCTTATCTTAATATTATTACTGTACTCTATGTGTTGGAGAACTTGAGTTGTAATTTATGTTAGAACCATGTTTAAGCTATGTGATGGTGCTATTGGGACCCACAACGATCATTCTTTGTTGTTGAGTTATTTGCTTAATTGTAGTTATGTACTCAGTCGCATTCATAATTGCATATCATATCTCAGTCTATGTTATCATATATTGTCATATCATGTATCATTGATTTGGGCTGCTTGGCATGAGTGTTGTGATCCCGAGAGACTGGAGAGATTGATGACTCAGTGAGGCCGAATGCCTGTTTGTGAGTGATATTGATGGGATCGGGCTGCACGCCGCAGCTGGTATTATTGACTCGTGATGGGATCAGACTGCACGTCGCAGCAGGTATCATTGCTTCATGATGGGATCGGGTTGCGTGTCGCAGCAGGTTTATTAGCACTTGGGCCTCCAGAGTCTAACATACCAGCAGTGAGCGCAGGTTCTATTGTTTCATGATGGGATCGGGTTGCACGGCGCAGCAGGTACTGTACAGTGCTGAGTGACTGAGTGTGATGAGTGAGAATTGGGACAGTCAGGTTGAGTACTCTGAGAGTGTGAGTACATGAGGCTTTCATTGTGTTGCATCACATACAATATGCATATTGGCATATAGATATAGAGATGTTATATTCCTCATGTCATTAAGACTTGCCATATCTTATCTGTGTTAAGCTTAACTGTTAAACCTGGAAGCATGTCTACATTCCTGTACTAGTACCTCCAGATTATGAGTTTCTCTAAGATATTATTGTTATATTTCCGTCATTTCTGTACTGTTAAACTCTGTATTTGAACTTTATTGGTTGAGCTCGTCATTGATTTCAGCCCAAAGGCTAGACTTGTTACTTATTGAGTTGGTTGTACTCACGCTACACTCTGCACTTCATGTGCAGATCCAGGTATTTTTGGGCACGGTGGTTGCTGATTTTTGGAGCTTCATCGGTTCGGAGATTATCGAGGTAGCTGCTTTGGGGTCCGCAAACCTTGACTCCCCTTTATCTTTTAGTTTTGTTTATATTGTTCTACCTTCCTAGACTGTTTCAGTTGTCAGATCATGTTATTGTATAGATGCTCATGTACTCCGTGACACCCGAATTTTAGGAAAATTCTATATTGAGTTGAGGTGTTTTCATCCAATTTTTATGAGATTTTATTTATTCAAACCTATGTTAGTATATTTTGAATTAAAGATGCCTGTATTTGTGAGTTGTCGGCTTGCCTAGTATCACGATAGGTGTCATCACGGCACTTGTGATTTGGGGTCGTGACATTGGTTTCTTTACAATATAAATGACCAATACTTCTACATAACAAACAGTTGCTAGATAAGTCCTAGGTAGAAACAAGTTTTAGGTTGATTAACTTTTTTCTAAAACAAACAGCTGAATAACAGAAAGTGGACTAGCATCACTATAGCGATCTCTAATCAAACATCCTCACTCCCAGAAGAAAAAACAGTAAGCATGCTACCATTGCTCCATCCTCAACTAATACTGCACATTATATAAAGAAGCAACTTCAACAAAAGAGAAGCAATTTCATCAAAAAAGAATATAAAGAAAAAATTTCAATACCATGAAAAGAGAAAGAAGAAAAACTCTTACTGTTAGTGTTGCACAATATATGAGAGCTTGTAAATATAAGAGCTTAGGCTATACTCTGTCCAAAAAATGACGAGCTTACGCTACATGAGATGAAGGAACTTTCTTAATTTTCAGGATTGCTAACTATAATATGCCTCAATCCCAAGCAAGTTGGGGTCTGTCTGTATGAATCCTCACAGACCATGCCGTTCCATTAAACCTCATCATAATCATTCAGAATATTCTATTAACATTCTATACAATTATTTTTTTAATATATTTATGTAAAGCTAATATCATCTTGATCTGTACTAATGAAGTTTATTTGATTTATCAACAAATAATAATATGTTATACATTAAACATAGACACATTAAATGACCCTAGACACAGAAAGACAGAGGAGTAGATGCAGGGCAGGGAAGGCAGCACCTTTAGCACTGATGTGGGTGGTTTGGAAGGAAAGAAATCGGAGAGGTTTTGAGGGGATAGAGAGTAACTTTGCACAGTTGTGGAATAGCCTCTTATTCCGTATTTCCTTTTGGTGCACCCATGAGACTCCTCTTTGTATAGAAGATTGAGTGACTTTTGTATAAAATCATATCTTTTTGTTGGTTTTCTTCTTTCTTTCTTTCTTTGGTATACCACTTGTGTAGGGTTTTTTTGCCCAAACATTTCAATAAAATCTTGATGCTTTAAAAAACGACCCTACACACATCCTAACCAATTCTCTTAACTAACGACACACCCTTCAAATTCAAGTGATGAACCAATGTGTGTGCAAATCAATTCAAGACTAGAAAGTCAAGTCAAATACATTAACAAAAAACAATAGTTGTTGCCAGAACAGGCATCTGAGTAGTGTCTTAAATAGTGTAGGTGAAAATAAAATTGGATTGGCGCTACCATGAAACAAAATTAAATGGATTGTGAAGCTACCATGACTACAAAGAGTCATGGCTGACTTGAATATGCATGCAGCCAACTTGATCAAAACGTTGACAAACACAAGCATACTGTCAAGTGTCAATTGGACCATATCATTGGAAACCAATGGTGCTACCTGATGATAACATAGCGCTGATTGCCAATAACATGTTACACTAGCTAGGAAAAATTGGAGTACCGGCTTCACAGGTCTAAGGACCAATAACATCACTCCTAAACCCACACAAATGTGATTTGACAGGTTAGCTGATATGGACTAATGTCACCAATCTTAGTAATTAATGGTGCATGAGATGTGTACTACAAAAGCACCAATGGGCTTGAGCTTTCTGGCTTCACATGCACAAAAGGAAATATTTAAGGCTATAGTCTCCAATATTGTGTTCATCTTAACGACACTAACTCCAGATGTCAGAAATAGGTAGACTGAGGGAGCACACAAAAGATATACACAAAACAGATGTGATGTCAGTGAAACAGTAACCTAAATGAAGGTGTAACGCTGCCAAAACGATAACCATTAATAGACAAGAATAGTAACACTTCATCAAGAAGAAGAAAATTTTGGGCGACTGTGCAGCCTAAGGTAGGCAGAAGCTATCTATAGAGATAATAGAAGAGGAGCGGCAAAATTCTTATTGATTTGAGTGGTGAACAACAAATAAAGGAGCCCCTTATATAGAGTTTATGCTACAGAAAAATAAGGGAATCTACCTACTTAGCGTGAATGCCTAATTATGATGCCATCACTATGAATATCAAATACAATTAACCTAAACGTAAAAAATTAATGCAGACATTCTAATTTTCAGTTGCATTAATTCTCTTGAAATTCGACTAACACAAATAACATGTTCATCTCAACATAATCTCTGACACATTCCATAATACTTTGACTCAAGTCTACCATGTCATCGATAGAAGAATGATTGTTTCATCATAAGAGCCGAATCTTCAAATAAAATATGAATTTAGGCGCATCTAAACAAAGGAAAAATGTAAAATGCTTGTATATGCCTATTGTTCATTTGGATCTTATAATTCTTATTCCAGAATTTCTACTATGTGCAACTTGATACTGCCATTTAGGCTCACGAAACACCATTTGTCTTGAGCAACTAGCACAATTGTGTTCGCATTTGCCGGCTTAATGTATCATCATTTAGTTAATTTCAATGAAAATTGAGATTTCCTGGGCACTTGCAACTAAATTTAAGACAGTAACACAATATTACTCAAACTTACATGCCTACAACTTCACACTCAAAAATAACCCGTAGAACAACAATAGAATATTCTTACACGAATTTTCCAACAACTCAACCTATAAAATGAAAAGGAGAGCATCCAAATGACTCTATAATACATTGGGAAGACTTTGCGCTTTCAAACGGAATTGAAAAGGTTTTAAGAAAAAAAAGTTGACGAACTAACAGATAGAAACCCTACATCATCAACAAGTAACCTAGACTGAATCCCGTAGATCAATTGGGAGACTAAATATATTAATTCCCCCACTTGACAACTAACCCACACTTCAGCTCAGTCAAAACTTATAGTTCATCTCTCTTATATCACTCCGATATAGGGTTTTAATTTCGACTTACAGTGACAGGGGCGTCCACTCTCTGCACATTGCTTTCTTCAACGAGGATTTCCATAGCTTTAAGACAAAGACCTTTCACTTCCGATTCCTTTAACGGTTCGCATCTCTTGAGCTGTTCTATTTGCCTGTCTAGGTCTGACATCTTCGTCAAACTTCTTCAAGTCACCGGCGAGCTCTGTAACCAAAATCTACTACTAATATCTTCTCCGATTGAAGCGCATAGGGTAGGGTAATAGCAGCTGAAGAGAATGGCTCTCTTCAAAGTTCACTCCCCTGCTGCGCCGTCGTGATTCCCGCTGTGCCGACTTGCCGCTTAAAGCTTGCTCTACTTTTTACTTTTTTTTTAGTACAGTACTTATGTCCCAACTCCTAAAAAAGAATGGCACATATTTATTTAATTTTATAATTACGTAAATATTTATTATTTAATTTAACTACAAATGAAGAAAAAAAAATTGATTCCGCGTTCAACCAAACAAGTGATTCCGCCTTAAGAAAATGATTGGTTTGAAAAAATGGACCATCCCATTGCCTTGAGAAAAGAATGAATGGTTTGAATAAAAGGATAATGTAGTGATTTATCAAAAGAAACTAGTGAAATGAGATACAGAAACAGTGTGTGCCTCTTGCTTTTTGTGGTTTTGTTATTGTACTTTTCAATAACAGGAATAGGATAAATAATTTACTGTGTATAATTCATGTACCAAATCTAGCTAATTTCATAAATAGCAAAGGGAAAAAATCCTAAATTTTAGTTGACGCTATATTATTATACGGTTTTTTAAGACTACTTTATATTTTATATCTATGCCGTTACTGAAGAAGACTAAAGAGCCAACTTGTTATTGCATTTGGAGACAATTAATTCAATTTTTTTCGAAAATAATTGATTAATTTTACTTATTATCATTCAACTTTTACTTTATTACACCAAAGTTACTAACCATTGTCATTATGGAAAGACCATTCAAATACCAAACTATTATGAAAATCACTGAAATATCTTTTTTTTCAATCATAAAGTGTATGTGTTCGAAAATTATTTCTCCAAATAAAACATAAACAGGAATATAAACAATATAAGTAAAAGTTCCAAGCCCAACATAAAATTCTGTTTCCTTAAGGAATTTAACCCCCCTCATTATTGCCCGAAGTTATTGGATTAATTCCTCCCAAGATATAATGGAACAACTATTCTGTAATAGCATGGCACATAAGTCCTCCATTACATCTAGAGATGGCAATGGGGCGGGGCGGGGCGAGTGCGAGGCGGGTTTTGCCTTAACCCACAAAATTTCAACC